AATCTACTCAAGAACTATTAATGTCATTTAAAATCTTTGGCATGAGCTCTTATCTTATTTGTAAAGAAAAAATATGGACTATTATAGATGTAAATGCATTATTAAGGGCTCAAAAAGATTATCATCAAGAATAATTATCTTTTATTTTTTATATCCAAAATTTTTGGTTACTTAAATTAATCTAAGATCTATACAAAAATAAATATATAATAAACATACAATTTAATATGCATAAAAAAAAAGATGAATAAAAGACTACATTTTGAACCTAATATAGACATTTTGAATATAATATTATGCCTTTTGGACTCATAAATTCTCTAGTTTCTTTTTAATATCTTATAATTATTTTTTGAGAGTTTTTAGATAAATTTACTATTTTTTATTTAGTCAATATCTTCATCTATTTTAAAAATACACAAAAATATAAATTTTATATTTTTCATATATTACAAAAACTTAGAAATGTACAACCTTATGCCAAGATAAAAAAAAATGTAAATTTTATATTATTCAAGTTGACTTTTTAGGATACATCATTTCAAATGATGGCCTTATGATGGATCCTATGAAAACTAAAACTATCATAAATTAGAAGGTCTCAAAAATAATAAAAAATATTCTATATTTTTTAGAATTTACTAATTATTATCTGATTTTTATAAAGATTTTTTTTCAAATATCAATGCTATTTACACATTTAATTGGTAAAAAAAAAAATTAAATACAATAAAGAAGTTGGAACATAGTTTGAAGCTTTGAAGACAACTTTTATTTTTACACCAATCCTATATTGTATTGACTTCTCTAAGGCATTTTTTATAGAAAGAAATACATTCGACTTTGCTATAAGTGCAATATTATCACAAATGAGAATAAATATAAAACTCCACGTTGTTTTTATTTGATAAAATTTTAAGTGGCAAAAATCAACTACAAGATCCATAACAAAGAACTTTTTGCTATTATGGATTCATTTCAAGAATAGCGCCATTATCTAGAAGGCACTTCATGTCTAGTGATTGTTTATATAAATCACAAGAATCTCAAATATTTCATGTTAGAACATATTCTAAATTTTTGCCAAGCCCATTAGATTATATCTTTGTGAAGATTCAAATTCAAGAATACTTTTTAGCCATAAAAATAATAAATTTTATCAAATGTCTTTTTAAGATGTTCTTATCTTGTGTCAAAAAAAGAAATGTAACTTTTTATCAATAAAAAATAATTTTCTTAAAGCCAAAGCAATTATATCTTCAAACAATGAAATCAACACTAGTTACTAGTTTAACTTTTTTTGAATAAATTTAGTCAAATATGTCTTCTAATTTTTTTGTTTGTGATATTAAGAATAATTGTTTAAAATCTCAAGCTACTTCCAAGTTTGAATTCAAGAATAATCTACTCTATTTTAAAAGAAAATTATATGTTCTAAAAAATAAAATATAATTACGAACACTTTAAGTTCATTACAATTTTTCAACTGTAAGATATTCTAGATATAAAAAGACCTTAGAATTAATCTCAAGGAATTTTTCATAGCATCAAATAGCAAAAGAAATCAAATAATTTTTACAATTATGTAATATTTTTTTAAGATAAAAAAATCCCTGTTATTGATCTTATAAACTTCTATAACTATTATCTATACCAAAACAAGCAAAGTCTTTTATTTTTATGGATTTTATCACAAATCTTTGAATATCAAGTACATATGACTCTATATTCCTAATAGTGGATTATTTTTCTATATTGGCATATTTTGTATCATATAAAAAATCTATTACAAATAAAAAATAGGTAAATATATTTTTTACAATATTTAGCATTATTGTAAATTACACAAAAATATTATATTTAATAGAAGGATCCAAATTATGTTAAGATTTTAAAAAATTCTTTTCAAGATATTGAAAGTAGATATAAAATTATTTTTAGATTTTCTTCTTCAAATTGATTGACACACAAAAAAATGAATTAAGTTTTTGAAGTAATATTTGCAATATACTATCAACTATCATTAAGATGATTGGACAATTTTTTACCATTGGTAGAATTTTTTTATAATAATATGATACATGTTTCATTAAATAAATACCTTTCTATATATATTATGGTTATCATTCATGATAATATTTTTAAATTTTTAAAAATTAATAATTATGCGGCAAAAGATTTGGCAAATTATCTATCACATCTATATGAAACAATAAACACATAACTAAAGGAAGCTCACAAACAAAAAAGACCAATATAAATGCCTATTATAAGAAATAATCTTAATTTTATGTTTACAAAAAGCTATGATTATTTTGTCATAATATAAGAATTAATTGCAATTATAATAAGTTGGATTAATATAAATTTGAACCATTTATTATTTATAATCAAATTAATCTATTTGCATATCAATTATATTTATTAGAGTTTGAAGATTCATTGTATGTTCCACAAATCTTATATAGAATCATATAAGATAGTGAATATTTTGGAAAGAAGACAAATATTGCTTCTTTTTATAGAATTGGATAATAATAAAAAAAAAAAATTAAAGAAGTTTTAAATTAGAGGTAGTGCCAACTTAGGTTACAATATTTAATTTATTAATAAGAATATAATATTGATGAACACAAATAGAATCTATCAAAAAGCTTGTAAATGTAATAAAAAATTCAAGGCTTTTTATCAATAATATTGATCAAAACCAAGGCAAAGAATTAAGTCATTTTATATTATAAAAAAATTGATGTTGAATAAAGATTGCATTTTATCTTCTACACTTAATTAAAGTTTTTTTTAAACTATTAAGAAGACAAAGCATCAACAATCAACAAATTCAATTTAAGAAGTATCATTTTTTGATTTAGTGGACAAAACATTGAGATTGTCACAACCAATAATGTGAAAGAGATGAAGACCTTCAAAAAAGACATGTTTTTCTCCATATAAAAGGCAAACTATAACATGTTTGATATCACAATCTTAAATGAAACTCTCCATATTTTGTGATATTATTAAAAGTGGAAATGATTCCTAAAAGTGTTACAAATGTTTTGTTCGAAGAAAGTTATATAGGCGTTTGATCAACAAAAAGCCAAGCCACTACTACCAATAATTCTAAACAATGAAGTGGGTTACCACAATACACTAATATCTAGAAGTATTTGAATTGCTTTCACTGAGTCTGTTGATGGAATATTCAACACACATTTACATTTTTAATCCAAGCCACAATGCCTAGCTAAATGTTGATTCTAAAAGATCCAGCAAAACACATTTACATTTCTTATCCTGGCGACACAACCCAACTATATGCTCATTCTGGAAGATCCAGCATGTGAAACAGCAGGTCAGTCTCGACCTGGTTATCGGAGATCAAGTTTATTCATGCTCACTCTGCAAATAAAAACGATACCTCGAGATTTCACAAAGCTGCTATCCATGAATCCCACTTCGAAACCGGCCACGACAACAACTGCTCCACGTTTGTTTGTGTTCATCACACTTGTGAAGGGCAGTACATCCATGCGCTTTGCTGCTCATAACCTTGTCATGGTTGGCCCAATTCAGAGGACGAAGAGTGATTCAGAGATTGACGCCGCGCAGGGATGTGCGGTAAATTGCTTACGACAAGCAACGCAAAGCATGCCGATGCTGTGCACCGGAAAGAATGAGCACGTGGCAGTTGACGCTCACCATGTGCAATGAACTCGTCCTAATCTACTCTATGATACACGGATGCTCTCCATATCTGGGCGGCCTTGTTTCCTGGGCCCCCTTTCCTTTCTAGTGGCTGTTCACCTGGTCAAACTGTCGCCGAATTTCGCCGTCCAAACCTGTGAGCACCTCAATCTGGCTCATCTTCACCATCGCCTTGGCGAAGTTGCGGTAGAATGCCGCGCCGTTGTTGGCGTACACACCCCCGCTGGTGCGGGAGTCGTACAACAGGCTCTGGTCCGAGGTGAGCAGGCCTCTCCCGGCGATGATGTCCTTGAAGTACTGGCTGTCGAATGTGTGCGCGGTGGAATCCATGTCCACGCTGGTGGATTGGATTGCTGCATACGGGCACTGCCCCTTCAAGAACGTGGCGAAGCTGGGAGCCAGAGTTGGGTCCACCGGGGTTGTCTGAACGCGGTCGTCGAATGTGACGCACGGGGCTTTTCCGATGGTGTGGGCACCTGATAGGACTACCATTTGGGAGGGGCTCAAGCCCTTCCGCCCGAACACATCTATGAGTTGGGACACGGTCATGCTCGGGGCGGGCAGGTTCAGTGCTTCTTCCATGATGGAAACCGTTCCGTCTCGACGCCCAGCGGGCACATGCCACCCGTAACCTCCAGCCTGGACAACCACGCAGGTGCAATCCACATGTCAGAAACGGGAGCCTGATACTCGACCCCACAGGTTCAATGCGGGATCGGATGCGCTTCTGAATCGCTCATTCGATGCGCGATCGGGTGAAGTCGGGAACGATCAACCAGGCAGACATCCAACCTTCATCCACAGACACTACCAGGTTTGCGTTATGGGATGCTTGCTCACCAGTACAACTGCGTCACGGGCGGCGAACTGCAACACATCGGCGGCTGAGACTACGCCCGGGCAAGCGTTCTCCACAGCTCTTTTTGCGGCGTCGATGGCGTCAAAGCCATGGAGTCCCGTGTTGGTTCTAGCTCTTCGCTCTGTATTGGGTCCTTCTAGCAGAACGGAAGCGTCGCAGCCCTGAAGAAACCACAGAGACGGAACAATCCTGTGAGGAGATGTTGCGGTTACAGTGTGAAGCATCTGAAGCAGAAGCAGACAACTCGGGAAAACTGAATTTGAAATCCAGGTACTTCTCAGCGCAAGCTCTGCGACTCGATCCAGCTGGCTGGGGTGCTGCAAATCAAGACGATCACGTACCCGGACGAAGCAATCGTGGAACGCCATCCGAAGGATTCCAGGTGCAACGGTGTCGTCGGCCTTGGTGGATTGAGCCATAGAGTTGTAGACGATGGCCTCCACTTGGGGACAGCTGTGACGATAGAACCCTACCTTGAGTCCAGTGTGAGCGGCAGCCGGGGTGATTGAATTCATGGCAAGGGCGATGGTTACGAAGATCGCCAGTAACGCCGGTGAGGGCCACCTCCCCATCGTACTGGTAAGATTCGGTTCACCGATGTGCTAGTAGGTGGTGGAAATATCTGTAGCACCTGCACCTGAAATATATTTGTGGTTACGAGGCGCTAGTCTTGGAGTGGGACGCGCCGGAGCTCGAAACTGGATTTGGGTGGGCGCTCTGCGTCGCACTTGGATCTCATCCAATATGGACGTGGTTCAGCGTCCTGCAAAAGCGCCAGGAATCGCGGATGATCAGTAGACGAATGGATACAAGACCGCTGATCCAGATGCAGGTCGAGGTCGAGGTCGAGGTCGATCGATTGGGAGCAGCGCGAGTTGTGGTGAGACTGGCACTGCCTCTGAAACGTATTTGTATGTGGTGTTCAGGAACTGGGCAAGTCGCAAGTTTGAGTACGAAGATGCAGGGAAAGAAGATGAGAGTCGCCTTGGCTGATGAAGCTTTGCGCGTCCGGATACGAGTGGCACTGCACAAGACCGCAACGACACGAGGAAGACTGGGAGTGTCCTATATCCGAGTTGACGTCGAGAACAGTACGGGCCGTCGAACGTGTACGGACCACAGAAACCCCTCGTGGCGTTCCAAGACTTTTCGGAGTGGGCTCAAGTCTGAAGAGGGGACAGTATTGACCGTGGGACGGAGAGAGCCGGTCGCCAGCACAACATCAGCGCACATGCTTACAAATCTAACCCACGCAAGATGGAGGCTCTAGCGAAACGAAACAGTTGACAACAGCAGCTGGACTTGGGCAATATGGCGGGACCGGTCACCATGGATGAGTGATCGAGCCTGGTATTGGAGTTGGGTGACCTTGCAACATCCGCCCCTGGAAGTGAGCAGTGATTCGGTCTCCGTGCAGCTGGCAACTGTTGACTCACCAACCGGTACCCGTCATCCTTGGCGGCCGAATTGTCTGTTCATATTTGTGGGTATTATTTTTTGAAGGTTGCTTCTATTCTTTGTAGTGTGTTTCCAATTCCCCAAGTTCATTCAAATACGGTTGAGATAGATCCTGTGAAGCAGGGGTGGGGAAGCGTGATGTTTCCGGGAAACTTTGTTGATGTAATCCGTGGTGCTTCCCGCATGGATCCCATCGTGCTTTGTTGAGCATGACGTTCACTTTGTTGCACTTTATGAGTGCGGTGGATTTCCCCCAGCAGTTGAGTTCAGTTATTCTATTCCTCGATTCGATTCTATCATGCACGTGAGATACGTATGGAAATTCATGAAAGTAGCGTTACCAGGTGGCGTGTATGTGTCCTGGTCAAAACATGCGCGTGTTGTAGTGAAATGGAGTTTGAAGTTTTTGAGCTTACAAGGATATTTGCATATATTTTATAATGCACGTGAGGTAATCAACCCTGATAGCTGTACCAGAAAAACATTACTACGGAACATTTGTGTGTTTATATTGAGGCTTTTGATTTCAAGAAGGGATGGATGTGATATGCACTTGAGGATTATTTCAAATATATAAATTCTGCTGTAGTAAGCAATAAAAAGCTACATTCATTAAAACTCTTACATTGCAAACATGGAGGTATGTAAATCGATGTTTTTGTACAAATGTGTTGGCTTTGAAAGAAGAAAAATTTGTGCAAATGTTTCTAATTCTATTTGGTATTTTCTTTATCAGTACAGAGTTTTTCACTCAGCACAGTGGAGTTCAGTGTGCTCCAATCTTCAATTCGATCACAGCATGCACGTAAGGTTTGTATGGAAATTTTGGAAAGTAGTGTTATTAGGTAGAGAGTATGTGTCGTGGTCAAAATATTCACGTGTTGTAATCAAGTTGAGTTTGAAATTTTGAATCTTATAAGAATATTTACATCTTTACATATGAATGTTTGATAGTAAGGGGTTGGTTATTGTGGCGATTTCAATCATTCTACTTCAATAGCAAATTTCAATCGGTGCCTTTGATGACTGGCGACCGGATGTGTATCCATATTAGTGGGTATTATTTTTGAAGATTGCTTCTATTCTTTGTAATGTGTTTCCAGTTCTACGAGATCATTCAAATACGGTTGAGATGGATACTGTGAAGTAGGGGTGGAGAAGCATAATGATTCCAGGAAACTTTGTTGGTGTAATCCGTGCAGCATCCCGCATTGATCTTATCGTGCCTTATTGAGCATGATATTCACTTTGCTGCACTTTATCAGTGTAGAGGATTTCACCCAGCAGTCAAATTTAGTTCACTTTGTTAAGCTTAGCACGATTTTTCAAATGGATTCTTGCATGCATGTAAGTTACGGATTACAAATCAGACAAGCAGTGTAACCAAGACGCCTGTATGTGTCATGTCAAATCATGAGCGTGACTCTTATCGTTAGAGCTTGTACTTCGATACCGCCTAGTCAAGAAGTTTTGAAGACTATAAATGTTATAAATGCATGGAGTATAGGATTGTTGTTTTAAGGCTTTTGATCCCAAGAAGGGATCAACTTGCTACTTAGATGACAATAATTTTGAAGGAGTATTCTTAGTTGTAAAACACATTACAAAGCATAATTTTACTGAACTTTTAAATGCTTATTTGGAGGTCTTTAGATTTACTTATTTATTTATTTATTTTTAACCAAAGTATGGACTTTAAAAGAAGCAAACTTGAATAGTTAAAAACAAATATTTTGTATTCTTTGCTTTATTTTTGGTAACTAATAATTGGCATATTAGCTCTTAAGTTGATATTATAGAGTTTTTATAAATAATGATGTAATTTCGAATAACATTATAAATAAAATTGGTTTCAGTTTTTTTAAATTAAAATTTTAATTATTTATTTTTGAAAGTATATTAAAAAATAAGATCAGAATAAATTATAAAATTGATGTTATAATATCTTATTCAATAATTTTAAAACAATTCGACTATTAGTCTTTTTAAATAATTTAAATAATTTTGATAAAATCTGTTTAAGTAGTGTTTTAGAATTTTTCAAATAATAAATTTTGGTTCAAAGAATATAATAACATAAAAAATTGCATATAAAATATTTTACATGATAAGATTATAGTATTTATTTTATACTATAATTAAAAATTTATCTATGATAATTTTTTTTAATAACATTTATTAAATATCAGAAATTGGCTCAAGTTTAAATTTTATTTAGGTTTATTTCTATTTCTATTTTATTTTATATGAAGAATGTGTACCTGAATTTAAAAAGAAACTTTATTACCTTGTAAAATTATAATGTTAAACTTCAAAAAAAACCAATTGTAAATAAATAATGTAATATTATGAAATTATTTTTATTTTATTAGTTGTGTAAAAAATTAATAAGACATATATTTAATCTAGCAAACAATGATAATAAAAAAGAATTAATTTAAATAACTTATAAGTAGAATGAAAGAATATAAACCTTGAATTAGGGGCTTGAACTTCCAAAACTTAATCTTTTGATTAAATAGTGCAAAAGATGAATTTTGATCCAATCTTGTTCTATCACATGTATTTGTTTTGTAGGTCTATGGTATTAATATTTTGGTATAGATGGATGTAAGAATAAAATTTATACCTCAATTTAAATTATAAAATGGCCTCAATTAAGAGTTATTTATAATATGTGGTATAAAATGAAAGAAGCAAATAACTAAAAATAAAGAGAATAAACACAAACAAGTGAAAGAAATGCAATCAAGAAATTACGTACTACAAAAATAATCTCAATCTATTTATTGATTTTTTATCCAATTAAATACAAAAATAAAATAAAAAGTATGTTTTTTTAAATAATTATTTTTTTTAATCCTTTCAATGATATAAAAAAACATAAAAATTCAAATTTTTATGTATAAGTTGATAATTTTGATCATTGTTCTAGTGGTTATAATACAAGTTTTATATATCAATTAGAATAATATAATCTACAAATCTGATCTTCATTACTTATATTCTAACTTGGCTCCTACAGTCTTTTGAAGAATGATGTAAAGAAATCACTTGATTGAATCTTTTATAATAATATATAAGGTAAAATTTTCTACAATTGGAACATAAAATTCTATTTTTGATCCAACATTAACTTAGTATATGTTGTTTTTTGCAAGTAGGTCAAGGTATAATGTTATTCTTTTGATTCAAAGAATAAACTATGACCTATTCGTCTTGAATGATGAAAAAGCTTATAAGGTTAGAACTCAATTGTTTTTCTATAGGTGGTTATTTTAGAAGTTATAGACAAAATTGAATCGTGTGGTTTACTTGTTTTTAATTTGTATACTACAACTTAAAGGTGTAAATTTTTACTTCATGATATTTAGGCTCTATAATTGGATTTTGATATTTGATAAAAACAAAAACAATATTTATTCAATAATGGATTTCATAATATTCATCATTTTTTTTTAAATACATCATTTTTTTGTGTTATCTTTCTTTTAAATTCCTTTAATTTAATCTTATTAAATATTTTATTTAGAACTTGATCATACTAGACTTATATAAATATTTTATAGATGGATCTATTAAATCTTAAAAGATTAAAAAGAATTGATATATCTTGTAATTTTAAAGATATAATAATAGATAATTTTTTATGCAATATCATCAAATCAATTTGAATATCCATTAGAAGATTTTGGTTACTTCCATTGATTACATTAGTCCTTCAAGTTAGAATAAGTGAGAGATCTACTTGAGTTTTTTGAAGATGGCTTCTACCATGCTCCATTCTAAGAAAAACTTATGATATTTTGTCATAAACCTCTTTCAATATAATGGTTTCTAACATTATGATTTTTAATTCTATTTTCTTTTGTATAATATGTTTAGATTGAAAAACATGGTCTAAAATAGAATAAATAATTTTGGTCTTAATTTTAAGTGATGTATGATTTAATATGTAATTTCTAAATTAACTACTTAAGATAAAAAGTTGTCAAGGACATAAATTTCAAAAAAAGAAATCCTCAATATACTCTTATGTCACTTATAAAGATTAAAAAGTAACTCAAAGATGATAATAGATTGAACTAAAATAGCTATTGCCAAAGACAAGAAGACTAGAAAGTCTTGAAACAAGATTAAAGACTAAAAAGGCATTGATAAGAGTAAAGAAGGCTTCATTCTTACTTCTATATATACTATCTAATTAGAAGCTATGTAATGATGTTTTGTAGGGCTTTCAACACATATTATTGAAGAAACACAATAAGCAAGACACAAGTAAGTAGAAATCAGCAAGGTTAGACACAAGAGAAGTGTGGAATGAGATACCTCTCACTTCCAACACCTTTTACTTATAGGTAGAAGTTACATCCATTTTGGATAGTATTCAACTTACTTTTATCCAACTAAACCCTAGATTCTTCTTAACCTAGCCGCCACTTTGAAACCCTAGCCGCCACCTTAGTAACTTTTCTTCATCCTTTTGTTGCCCTTTGACCATTAACAACTTATTTAAGATAATATCTTTTACCTTCTAAATTATCCTCCATTTACTTTAATACTCCCACTTTGCTATTAATCAAAGGCTAATAAACCTAATTTCTTTGTCAATTTGTAATGTCTATCTTTCACTAATATTTTTGTGAGTAAATCAGCAAACATGTCTTCCGTTGCACAATATTTCATGTCAATTATTTCCATCTCAATCTTCTCCCATATGAAGTGATGTTGAATGTCAATGTGTTTTGTCCTTGAATGATGCTTTGGATTCTTGGCAAAAGCAAGGCAACTTTGATTGTCACACTTCATTGGAGTTGCTTCCTATTACACAAGTCCAATGTCTTCTAAAACTTGTCTTAGCCATATTGCCTCCATTGCACCACGACTTATTGCCATGTATTCCGCCTCCATTGTAGACCTTGTAATTATTGGATGTCTCTTACAATTCCATGAAATTGCTCCCACTCCAACAAAGAATACATATCTTATTTTTGACCTTCTATCATTTGCATCTCTAGTCCAATCCGCATCACAATATCCATGCAATGTAATATTATTACCTCCAAGACACAATTTGAAGTTCAAAGTACCTTTTAAGTACGTCAAGATCTTCTTAATGGTTGCCCAATGAATTGGTCTAGCATTTGACATGTGTTGACTCACAACACTTACCGCATGTGCAAGATCCACCCTTGTACCAACCATTGCATACCTAAGTGAGCCTACTGCTGCCTTGTATGGAACATCTTTCATTTCTTCTTCAACTTCAGCAAATTCTTCATCAGTGAGCTTCA